TTATCGCACGTAGACTCTCCACGTTTTACTTTTTCTCTTGTTTGTCACTTTGTCGTATGTCCCTTTTTATTCAATTCTTCTCCTCTTCGAATCATTTATATGGTTCGGGAGGGAGATTTATTCGAATGGGGGAAGTATACGACGATCGACAAGCTGGCGACTCCTTTTAAAAATAAAAAAAGAGAAAAATAAACGGAAACAGAGATGTAGGGTCAGCAAGCCCTCCACTTGAGAACCGGCCGGTCCAGCAAAGCTGCACCGAACTCTCTAGGTCAGTCCTCCATAGCACCTGCGTCAGTCTCCCAGGGTTATGGGAGCTTCGATCTCATTAGTTGAAGCTTTTGGTTCTTCTTCTGTAATCTAACTAGCATCGGGATACCACTAGCGTGAAGCAGAGCTGAAATGGAGTAAAACGGAGAGACGCCAACCTTTGGGCGCCAAGGCATTCCACCCAAGCGCCTCGGCGTCAGCTAACTGAGTGCCTAGACCTGACGGCAAGGCGCCAAAACCTACCTAGGAAAACTGAGAGGTCGACACCTAGGCGCCAGTCTGGTGGTGCCAAGGCACTGGAAACTGCCTAGGCAGTTTCTGCAGTTATTTCAGCACGACTTTGTGAGTTAAAGGGGTATCATAAGCAGTTCGAGAGAGCACTCCTGAACATTCTCAAGCCTTGGGAAGTCCAAGAAGGCAGAGGAGTCGTAGTGTAGAGTTAGGGTTTTGCATTTTCCACTTTCTTAGAGATTTAGAGAGAAATATGTAAGGAGATATACTAAGCATTGCAAGGAGCACTAGGAAACCTTTTGGGGCGGAATTTTCATCTCTTTGTTAGGGAAAAAAGCTAAGTATTGTGTTCTATATTATCTTGTAATGTTTGTAAATACAATTCTAGTGGATTTAATTTGTTATAAGATGATTTGTGGTGAGTAGATCTTTCTTAACTTTCTTGTGTGATAAATAGTTGGGTGTATAGGATGTTAGGATGCTTATAGAATTGATCATTAAACATCAATGTGATGAGTATTCTTCAAAACTTAATTTACTTTTCATACTGGTCATATAAACATTTAAAATTTGTTGTGATTCATTATGACTCAAAAGAGCGATGGAGGAACAGTTAGAGTATTCACATTGAACTATAGGTTATAAAACAAAAGTAAATTATAGGGAGATGCAAATAGATAAGGAAATAGTTTTTGATGGGTTTAAATTGGGGTTTAAGGAATTAAAATCAGTTTAACTAAACTTCTTTATGCACTCGGAATAGTATAAAAAAGATAATTGCTCATATTTGTCACTAGCCACATTTGCAATTTGAAGTATCTATTCCTACACAATCACTTATCTCATCACAAGAGAGGGGTAACTTTTATAATTTGACAATCACAGAACCAATTAAGTTATGTAGGTCTTAATATTAGAATTAATTGAAGTTGTGCAATTGTTGGTAGAACTTTCACTTAATCACAATTCCAAACTAAGACCTAAAAGTAATAGACTAGAATTTTTGTAAGGGATTCATTACCTCATTCTCTGTGAGAGCGACAATCCGGACTCAATAGAGTCATATATTATTGAAACGATACGTATAATTACGTGAGGAACTTTAGTGTGCAAGAACACCTAATTTTAAGAACTCAATCAAGTTGTTAAGGATCGGATCAAGTCTCTAGTGTCATTATCGGGACTTACATTATTGTGAAAATCGCTAGAGTAGATCAAGTTTCGGGCCCCGTGTCGGGAAAACAAAGCTAAAGAACTTTAGGAAAATTTTAGTTTAACCTATAAGACTTAGATTTGGAAAATTATATTGTAGTTTCATTGTGTAAGTGTTTGTTTGTTTGAAAACAAAATTAAAAAAAAAACTTATTTTTGACTGTTTGTCAAGTGTTTCAGTGATAAACTTACTAATTGAACCTTTAGTTGTGTATACGTAGTGTATGACCTGTTGGACTTGTATCATACGATTCAGAACTAGAGATGACAGAAAAATTAGAAAACATAAGAGATTTCAAGAACTTGAAGGAGAAATGTCGAGCATTCAACATAACAATTTAGATAACCATGTACCAATTAATGAACATCATAACGCGCATAGACCATTAAGAAGTTACGCTAATCCTACGGCAGAAGAAATTTACTGAAGTATTTTAACTCTTGTTGTAGAAACTAACACATTTGAATTTAAATTTGTTATTATACAAATGGTGAAGAACAACCAGCTGGGGGGAACCCCGTTTGAGGATCCAAATTTATATTTAACAAGTTTTTTAGAACTTTGCGCTACATGTCGTTATAACGGTGTGTCAAACGATACTGTTAAACTTAGACTTTTTCTCTTTTCCTTACGAGATAAAATTGAAATGTGGTTAAAATCATTAACGCCTAGATCAATTAGGACTTGGGTGACTTATCCCAAAAATTTCTAGCGAAGTATTTCTCACCTTAAAAAACTGCTAAATTTATGAATGATATTACTTCATTTTGTCGGTATGTAGGTGAGTTGATATAAGAAGCGTGTGAGAGATTTAAGAAACTTCTTAGGAAGTGACCACATCAAACTCTGTCTGATTGGTTAATTATTCAAACTTTTTACAATAATTTAGTAGGATTTCTTAGATCTATTATTGATGTTGTCGGTGGTGGTTAAACTCATTAGCACTTGTACTTCAACAGTTTTTTTTCATTGATCTCATATTTCTCCAATTGCCCTGCATTTACCTGGTAGCATATTTTCCGAAATTCTGTATCATGTGACAATGCATCTCATATTCTGTCATTCAAAGTTGGACGAATGAACATTTGATTCAATAGAGCAATCTTTCATCATTTAGCGTCACTACTAATAATTGTAAACACTCCATATCTTTAATCAACTCTTCTTGTTCTGTAATTACCCAGTTAGCACTACCACTTGTCTTCCTGCTTAGCGCGCCTGCTACAACATTTGTTTTTCCCGGGTGATATTGTATATCCAAATCATGGACTTTGATAAGCTCAAGTCATCTCCTTTGCCTCAAATTCAGCTTTTTCTATGTGAAAATATAATTCAAACTTTTGTGATCTGTTAACATTTCACATCTCACACAATACAAAAAATGCATTCATATCTTCAAAGCAATACAACTGTCGCAAGCACCAAATCATGTGTCAGATAATTCTTAAAGAGATGTGCATGAATTATTAGAGGTAACCTATTGAACTGCATTGTTGTTTATTTGTTGGGCCATTTACATACATAGCACCCGATTCTAGTGTTTTTACATATCTAACATCTAAACGTTCATTTTTACATTTATACCACCCCAATCTTTAATGTCATGTAAACAATATCATTGTTTAAACTTTTAAAAAGTGAAATATAAATTTTCTTACATAGGTAAGGTGAGATGTATGTAAATTGAAGTTTATGTGTTTTATGTGTTAGATACATAAATTGAAGTTTATGTGTTAGATACATAAATACATAGAAATTAAGTGGTATGTATGTAAATCTTACAACTAGTTTGTGAAGTAAATGTGCAACTTATTGCTATAGACTGTACACAACATTGTCACCCTTGCAATTGCCTGTAACATGTGAGAGCACTATAGATGGATGCTTGTTGACCCACCATTGGCACCATACTTTTTTTAGTGCAGCACATCAGATGTATTATATCATTCACATTTATGTTTCTTTAGCTGTGTAGTAATTATGTTAATACGAGGGTAGGCAGAGAATCAAGTGAAGGTGATTACAACAATGGTGCATAATGGAAGAATTGTGTCTACCCAATCAAGGGATTAGAGCTTCTGACTTTCGACCTTGTTTTTAAACTAATTGAGTGTTAAGTCCTACAATAAAATGTCAAACATTTCGAACTGATTTAAATGGATTTAACCTTAATCGTACCTACCACTTTTATGGATTCAAGACATTTGAATTTGATAAATCAGGATTTACGGGATTTACTAAACCTTGTTTAAGTTAAATCTTGGGGCAACTAAACACCCCCAGATATCCTTACATAGCAAAAGAACGAAACAAACTGGAGAATAAATGATAAAAGGCATTTTTAGATCAAATTTTAATATGACACTAAAAATATTGATACAAAACGGTATTGAGATGTTAGGGCCGAAACCAGCCTCATTTTTGAGTGAGGGCAAATTGTCTCCCTAAAACAAATGTGGGAGAGGCTAGGGTAACGAAAGGCAACTCATATTCCATGGGGGGCAAAACTGATATTTTAGAATGAGCAAAAGATCAAATTGTTCTCCCATAAAAGCAATAATCTGAATTTGAGGGAAGGCAAGAGCCAATTGCCCCCGCTGAACCCTACTTGGGTCCACCCGTGGAGATGTGTCATTAAAGACCTTCATCATCAAACTAGATGTTAACCAGGGTAATCAAAGCAGGGGCTCATCTAAGCAGAAAATTCCCTACATTCAGTCTCTAATGACTTAAAGTAATAATTGAAAATTTAAATCAGCATAAGCAAATCCAGGATAACAACGACTGAATGCCTCCAGCTTGAATCATCCAGTCCCAATAATTAACATTACAGCTCGTATATAAACTACCCAAGCAAATATTTTCAGGCTGCAAGCAGAAGAGAGAGAAGTCCATAAAGGAAACAAATCGACGGCGCACACTGTCAACCGACCATCAAGAAAATGCATCACAAATTGAAGGAAAAGAGGACAAGCTGACCTGATACTCCCACTCGGCAGCAATAGCCTTAGCTAGGGCCAAATTTGGGAGCTTAAGGGGTCGCTTGGAAGGGGTCTTGAGAGTGCGGTAGTCGAGCATCACCGTCCAACCGTTGCCGTCGTCTGCCATTCGGGTGGTCACCTCCTTGTAGAAGCGTTTTCCCACCACGGATCCCGTCATGAAGGTCATCGGCATCGTCACAGATACCTCGTCGCGTGTCACTGAATGCGACGATGACGATGAGTTCGGCCGCTTCAGGTATATCATATCGTCCTTCTCAGTGGTATCCGCTGGTGGTGCGAAGGAGGGGGGAGAAGAGAATTCCGAGGAAGCGGGGACGGCATTTGAGGAGAGACGACGTACTGCAGAATAGAGAAGGGATCGCCGGAGGGAGACCAGATTCGTGATTTGGTTCGCCGGCGATCCCATCTCCCTTCCTCGGAATTGGGTGCGATTTAGCGGGAACTTTGGCTAGGGCTGAGAACTTTGTGGAAAATCATGTAAATGTCTAAAATACCCTCATATTTAAATGTGTCCTATTACATAAATAGTGCCTTTGGGGCGCCCTCCGGGCCGCCACGGTGGCTGGCTGCGATCTTGGCAGCGGCGCCCAGTCATTTTGGTTAAACACCGGCTGCAGATCAAACTAAGGGCCCGTTTGGGGCAGCTTATAAGTGCGGCGGCGTTTTGAAAAACGACGCCTCATCGTTTGTTTCACGTATTGGAGCTGCGTTTATCAAAATTCTGTTTCTTTTTTACATTACACGCGGGGCTAGACCCGCGATCTGCATTCTTCGGTCGCGTTTAGCCCCAATTACTCCGCTGCCCCTTCCCTCGTTCGCGATTCAGGACTCCTTCGGCGCTCCTTTGATGGTCGAGGCGCTCCTAGTGTCGCTCCCTCCATCTTCATTCACGATTCTTCATCTTCGTTCGTAGAGCCGCTCCCTCCATCTTCCGCAGTGTCGCAGTACCACAAATCTCCATTGATGTTACGAGAGGCAGAAGCGCAGGTTGAAGCTCCAAGGAATCTTACGCACAGTTATTACCATTCATTGCAACAGGTAAATCTAGGCTATGTTATATTCCTCTATGTGTTCCTGGTTCGAATTTGAAGTTACTGCAAATTTTATTTACTGTTGGAAGAATCGATGTCTGATTTAGGGTTAGTGATTTGCTTTGGTCTTTCTTTTGGTTTGATTATTGTAGGTTGTTTGTTGTTTTGATATCTCGCTATTGTTGGTGAATGTCATGTAGGAATTACTTGGGAGATTTGTGTTTGGGTTTTTTTTCAAAACAGGGGCAGAATGGTCATTTTTCCAGAATAAGTTGTTTTCATACGCACAAACCAAATAGTTGGACAGCTTATTCGGATCAGCTGCTCATCAATAGATTATCAGAATCAGTTGCTTCTCAGCAGAAGTTGGATAAGCTGCAGCTGCCCCAAACAGACCCTAAGTGTCCCGCGTTTTCTTTTTTACATTACACGCGGGGCTAGACCCGCGATATGCATTCTTCGGTCGCGTTTAGCCCCAATTACTCTGCTGCCCCTTCCCTCGTTCGCGATTCGGGACTCCTTCGACGCTCCTTTGATGGTCGAGGCGCTCCTAGTGTCGCTCCCTCCATCTTCATTCACGATTCTTCATCTTCGTTCGTAGAGCCGCTCCCTCCATCTTCCGCAGTGTCGCAGTACCACAAATCTCCATTGATGTTACGAGAGGCAGAAGCGCAGGTTGAAGCTCCAAGGAATCTTACGCACAGTTATTACCATTCATTGCAACAGGTAAATCTAGGCTATGTTATATTCATCTATGTGTTCCTGGTTCGAATTTGAAGTTACTGCAAATTTTATTTACTGTTGGAAGAATCGATGTCTGATTTAGGGTTAGTGATTTGCTTTGGTCTTTCTTTTGGTTTGATTATTGTAGGTTGTTTGTTGTTTTGATATCTCCCTATTGTTGGTGAATGCCGTGTAGGAATTACTTGGGAGATTTGTGTTTGGGTTTTTTTTCAAAACAGGGGCAGAATGGTAATTTTTTCAGAATAAGTTGTTTTCATACGCACAAACCAAATAGTCGGACAGCTTATTCGGATCAGCTGCTCATCAATAGATTATCAGAATCAGTTGCTTATCAGCAGAAACTGGATAAGCTGCAGCTGCCCCAAACAGACCCTAAGTGTCCCCCCGCGTTCGAGGGTTGGCTTTTTATGAATCTTATCCCTCTTCCATTCGATCCCAGCATTTGACCCCTTTGTTTGATGATAAAATATTGCATCAAGACTCGAAACGTAGAGTTACGTGAGGAGTCCAATGAAATAACGTCATGTGGAGGTGAAAGGAAAAAAAAATCAACTCTGTAACATAGAGTAATATTCCCCTCATGTTATTTCTTGTTATTCAGGTGTTATTTTATGTTATTTAGGTGTTATTGTGTTCTGGGAATATTCTTAGTGTTATAATAACTCATTATTTAGGTGTTATTGTGTTCTGGGAATATTCTCAGTGTTATAATAACTCATAAATAACACATGAATAACACACAATAACACCTGAATAACACATGAGTAATTTTTTTTTTGCGTTGCCGGGTTGATTTTATTTTATTTTTTCTGTCACTGCCACGTAGCGTGATTTTCATTTGACTCTGCAGGTAACTCTACGTGCGGAGTCCTGTTGCAATATTTTCTCATTTGGGGCGAAAACGGGAGGGGAGGGGGCATATGGGAGGGTTTTAGGTTTGGAGAGAGAGTAAGGGACCGTTTGGGGCAGCTTATTGGGAGCGGCGACGTTTTGAAAATGTCGCCTCCCTGTTTGATAAATACGTTCACACGGGCTTATTCCTCCCGCACTGAGTTCGCGTTCAATAAATCTTTTATGTCGTTCGACGCAGTTCGAGCCCCGCGTCCGACGTTAGCAATCTGCGTTGCCCTAGGAATTACGGAGATGCCCTTGATCTCCCTCGCTTTCTCCCTCGCCGAAATCCTTTCTGATTCGTCGCCCTAGAGGAGATCGAACCTTCTTTCTTTCCAAATTTCTTTCCTGATCATCAGCTATCCTTTCAATTTCCCTAGCTGCGATCCTTGGAAAGCTTCCTTTTGATTTCCCTACTATGATCTTCTTTCTAAGAAGTGTAGATGCAAGAAATTAATTTTTTTTTCGGGTGAAATATGTGTACATAGGGTTTTTAGCTATATCCCAGTTGAGATAAATGGCATGAGTTGTTTTTGGCATCCTCTGATATGGCATGAGTTGTTTTTGCCAGTTGAGATATGTTTCATTTTCCATGCCCCGATATTTTGGCATTTTATTTGGTTTTTGTATTTGGGTTGCTAGTTGCGATCCTTTGAAAGCTTCCTTTTCTCTTATCCTTTTTCTGGGAAGTGTAGATACAAGAAATGAATTTTTTTTTTTTATGAAATATGAGTCCATTAAGGGTTTTTAGCTATAGCCCAATTGAGATATGTGGCATGATTTGTTTTCGGCATCATCTGGTTTTCAACATTTTCTCTGGTTTTGACTCTGTTGTTTGATGTGAGGTATTGGCTCGGTTTTAAGCAAATTGGTCAAGGTATTATTGTTTAGCTGCAATTTCTGTGATGGAGAATTTGCAGAAATTTGCAGAAATTTTTTTATGCAGGAATTTCAAATAACCCAATGTTGATTTGGTTATACATTGAAGATTTTGGTTTGGTTCATGAAAATGCATCTCAAATCATTATGAAATTGTTTATTCTTCTATGAAAGCATACTAGCGTGCAATTGTAATGTTTCAAACCTATACCTATCTCATCATTGAGAGGATTTCATACTCTTATCTTTCGTTTTATGTTAAGAATGACAATGGTTATAGCATTGAGGAGTTAAGTACATATAATATTTCATACTCTTATCTTTCATTTTATGTTAAGAATGACAATGGTTATAGCATTGCGGAGTTAAGTATATATAATGAGGCTTTAATATAAGGAGGCTTTGTTTTTATATGAGGCAATGGTCTTTCCGTATATGTTTTCATCTTTGATATATGAGGAGGATTTGTTTTTATATATAATGAGGCTTTGATATAAGGAGGATTTGTTTTCATAAGGAGACTTTGTTTTTATATGAGGTAATGGTTATAGCATTGGGGAGTTAAGTACATATACAGGGATCCGAATTAACTGCTTTTGGTTTAGGTGTCATATGCATATGCAAGACGTTGTTTTTAATATTAGATGCAAGAATGATATTTATACGGCTTACAGCTTTTATATGAAGCATTTATCACAATTTTTAAGCTATCAAAATGGGGGAACAGAAGAGAACAACTGGCATTCGGTTTTTAGCCAACATGGATATGATTTTATGATACAAATTATGTATATATAATGTTGTCAAAGAATATTTCTCGAATGAAACTTGCAAGTAAAGAAAAAGCATTGTAAATGCATTCCGTTTTTTTTTATAGGCTAGTCGAATTCGTACATATGTAATCTTATAACTTGCAAGTAAAGAAAAAGCATTGTAAATGCATTTCGTTTTTTTTATAGGCTAGTCATTGGTTGAACAAGGTAAATCTCCTGTTCACTTGTTTTTTTTTTAATTGAAATGTTGTGGAAATGATGTTAGATGTCAGTGTTTATTTATATAATGTTCTTGTTTTGAAATTGCAAAGGATAAATAAGTTCTTATAACACAAATAATTACTTTCCTTTGTTCCCTAGAATGTTCTTGTTTTGAAATTGCAAAGGATAAATAAGTTTTTATAACACATTTAGAGAATAATTACTTTCCTTTGTTCCCTAGAGTTCAATGTCTAAGGTGAATGAAGGGGGGTTCCTCTGCAATGTGGGATAAAGAATTTACAAATATATTTTGAGTATTAAGGAAATTGAACTGGGGAACAGACCAACCACATATTTCAATAAGGAATGTTGACAAAATATTGCTAAGAGATTCAAAGAATTGACTGGAAGAGATTATGCGAGGCTTAAATTCAAAAATAAATGGGACCAATTGAAGAAGGAATGGAAAATATGGAATGAGCTGAAACGTGGATCTATCGGATTGGGTTGGGGCCCGTTAAACGAACTATAGATGTTCCAAATGAATTGTGGGCTAAAAGATTGGAGGTAATAAATACAAACTTATTTTGTTTTACTAGGTTGATAGTGCAGCTGAGGACAGACGTACCCAGAATTTGAAATTAAATATTTTAATATTTCATATTGTAGTTGTACTTGTCTTTGTCCTTTTTTTATTTCTTCTGGTACTCACGAGAGTGTGAGAACTGTATGTTATCTCTTAGAACTGATATGTGATGATTGTATGATTCTACAGTATATGCTTTTGTACTACCAATAAGCTATTCTAAATAAGCTGCCCCAAACAGTTTTATAAGACATGGGCAAGAATGTCATTTAACCACTAATAATCTAATATGAATAAGCTGTCACAAACAACAAACCAGATTATTTTGATAATCTGCAGATTATCGAAATAATATATTTTGGATGAGATTATCGAAATAATCTGTTTATCA